GACATTTGTACTGTACCCTAAACTCTCTGTGGGGCTCTTGCAAGGTTTTTGACAGGGCAGTGAGCTCTGAACCCATTGGGTTTATCTCAGATTTCCCAACACCTCGTTCTTTTCTACCTCAGGGCCTTTGCACATGCCAGTACCTCTGCCTGAAGAGCTCTTCCCCCTTCTTTTTCTGGCTGTCTCCTTAGTATCTTTCAGATGTCAGCTCTTAAGAGAGACCTTCTCTGACACCCCTTTCTAAGGCTTTTCCTATTTGTTTCCTTTACATTATTTATATCATTTATAATTTTAAAATAATTTATTTCTTTTATACTTTCAGCTGTGTCTAATCCTAGAAGGTAGGGACTATATCTCAAACTCCTGGCTCAGTGCCTGGTACACAGGATGTGCTCAAGAAGTACTAGTGGAATAAATGAGTGAATCATCAGATTTGCCTGTTAGGGAGACAGCTCTGGCTACAGACCGGAGAGTGGACTACACTGATGACAGAGAATGTGGGAGGTTGTCCCATCGTACCAGTGAGAATTGGGAAAAGCCAGAGCCACAGTCATAAGGGGGAGATGAAGATACACATGGAGCAAAGAAACAGTAAGAAATGGAATCAGTGGCGATTAGTTGGATGTGGGTGCTTGTAGGAGGTGAGAGTCGGGGATGACACCAAAACCTAGAAAACGAGATGAATGGTGGATGGTTCATTGAAGTAAGGGATTCAAAAGAGTAAGAACAGTTCTCAAGAAGAGAAAGAACTCAGCTCTGGACATGTTGGGTCTGAGGATACCCGCAGGCTATCTGGATAGAAATATCTAATAAACATTTTGATTTATGAGTTTGGAATCCAGGAGAGAGAGTTTGGCAAAAGATAAAGATTTGAGAGTCATTGGCCATAGATTCATTCATCCACTCATGCAACAAATAGGCACCTACTGACTGCTTTGTCCCAGGTATTAAGTACAGGGTGAACAAAGCAAGATTATTCTAATTTTCACAAATATCACAATCAAGCCTGGTATCCAATATCATGGAAATAAAGAGAATGACTCAGGAGGTATGTATATAGGGAGAGGTGAGCACAAACGCTGGAGAACACCAACATAAGAGATGGACAAAAGAGAAGGGACAGTCGGAAGTGCGTGATGGTTTGGATGGATGAACGCAGGGGGTTCCCCCTCCCAAGTCCCTGCACCAAACTAAAACTAAGTTTTCTGGTGGCAAGATTAAAGTACGTGTGTTCACGTTCACTCTGTTCAGAAATTCATGTTAAGTCCCCCTTAAAATAAGGAATTTTAAACGTTGGAACTGAAACAAGTAGCAGCCCGCAAGCAAGTGACGCAGACAGAGCTGAGCCAGGGCTGCAGATCAGCCCAGATCTTCCCACTCAGCTCTGAAGTTCCTTGCTATTGTTGTCTGGGTTTGAAGTCAAACTTACCATATATTGTGGTTGGATTTCCTTTGTTATGGTCTGCGGGATAAATGTGATGTTAATGTCACAGTGAAAAGAGATAATATGCGCTGTTTTGCCAAGACTTCATTAGAGAATCTCTATTTATTTATTTTTACTTCTCTGTTCTTTGAACCAAGGAGGCAACACCTCAGGCGCTTACCATGTAAAACTCAACTAAATACCTGGGTGTGGGTTGTTTTAAGAGGTGAAATTTCTTGGGCACTTCTTCAAATGAATTTTGCCTTTTTAAAAAAAAAATTGTGGTGCATATACACGATTCTTCATTTTTCCTTTTTTTAATTGAGGTATAATTGACATAAACATTGTTAGTTTCAGGCATACAACAACCCCTTACCACACATAGTGCCACTTTATTTCAAATAAGCAAGTTAAGATTATCACATATTCTAAAAATTAGAGTTGCTTTATCTAAAATATCATAGATTGTGTGTTTGGTATAAAAAATTAACTGAAAATTGTCTTTCAGTTTTCAGCCAAAAAAATCTTTCTTATGCAAAAGTCCAATGTAACCAAAAGAGAAAGAATAATTTGTAGGTCCATTTGTAATTCTCCAAAACATGGTGATTTTTTTGCATGTGTTTATGTGCATAATGCTTAACAGATATATTGGTACATAAACTATGTCATAGGTAAACTTGCTTCCCCTTAGTAGTGGGGAAGATCTAGCTTTTATCAATAGCATAAATCTTATTTATGGATTTTTTTAACATTTTTTATTGATTTATAATCATTTTACAATGTTGTGTCAAATTCCAGTGTTCAGCACAATTTTTCAGTCATTCATAGATGGATTGTTTGTTATATATTCAGATTAATTCATTTTCATACATTGCATTTCTTAAAAGTATGTTTCTTATTTCAAAGAGCAGTTATTTAAAAAAAAAAACTCTTCGGTCACCAACTCACTACAACCTTTGACCCTAATTTTAAAGTAGGTGATAACATTAGCCCTACAGATACATCTCTCAACCAGATTCAACCTGTGAGACTCAGAATCAGAAAACCTTGGAGGCAGAGAGGGAAATGACATTCCAGAAATTATGTATTCCTTGCCATTTATAAATATGTTCCTGAATATAGTGTAAGAATTAATAGGTGGTTGATAATAGATGTAGTATCGGATATCCTAAAGGAAATTAATTATATCCAGCAAAAATAAAGCAGATACAGAATTCAAAGAATAAGTTATTTTGAACCATTGATTTATTATCTTTTCTCAAAAAAAAAAAAAGATTCAACTGACCCATCCACAAAAAAACTCCTGTCTTGAAGCAAATATGAATTTTTATTTGTGCTCTGAAGAATTTGGTTTTTTGCTTCAAGGGTTGGGGCTTGTCTTTTGTAGTCTGGCTTTTTAAAGATTCACCCTATGGTACCTCTAGAAATGAAGGGAACATCTTTAAATCTTCTTTGATTTGAATGAATGGACAGCTAATCCTGATCAGATGTTTCTTTAGAGAATAATGTTTAAAAACTGTTAGGGAATTTAGCCATCGTGGCTGATGGGTAGGTAGGCCTGTTGTGAAGGTCTCAGAGGTCAGCCAAGGTAACCATTTATTTTAAATCGTCTTTTGTTTCAGATTTCCTGTTGAACTTTTTTTAAAGCATTTCAAAAATCACCCAGTTGTTGTATCATTGCTTTCCATAACCTCCAGATTCAAAGATTCAAACCAAAAAACCATCTACATAACTGAATGACTGTACCCTCCCACGTCAGCTCTAGCTAGAGCGGAATATGAAATTAGATTTCACATTTTTAATCACAATGAAACTAATGTTTAGAATCCTGTTGTCAGATGTCTTCTATTTATGACACTTTGTTTCTTTTGTTTTTTGTTTTCCCAGGACATTTGGGCTTCCAGGACAGTTTTGTCACATCAGGTGTTTTTAGTGTGACTGAGCTAGTCAGAGTGTCACAGAGTAAGTATAATTTTGCTTTCATTTGGTACAGATTTGCCTTGGGTTTGTTGCTTACCTTTTGCCTAGGCCTCCTAGAGACATAAATAGCTTTCACAATCTCCTTTACAGGCTCGCATTGGAAGAATTTTGCCACGTAGACTGTTTGACAGCCAAGAATTTAAATCAGGAAAAATTAAATATCATTTTAATGTGAGACGTAGGGAAAGAACTGAAATCCTGAGTGTCTCACATGTTCCCTCGTTTATAGTGTGAACCTGGTTTTTTAAAAAAAATCCTGAGGCTTCCTGGATTACTGGGGAAATTCTGCATTTTCCACGAATTTGGTTTTGACCTTTAAAGAATGCTAATGCCCTCAGCACAAGGGACACCAGGCAACTTGAGCATTACCAGCTTGTCAATGATCACCAACAACAGTGAATTGAGAGTACCTGTCACCACCCTGTGCCATTGGTCAATGGGTCATCGATTGTATTTTTGCTATGACATGATTGAGACAGTCCAAGGAGAAGGTATAGGATTCCCCCTCCTCTCTCCCTCCCCCACATAGACACACACACACACAGTTACCTTCCCTCAAAAAATCTCTTTGTCTTTATTTAGAAGCATACCTGTAGTATACCTGAAACTAACATAATATCATACATCAACTACACTTCAAAAAATAATAATAATTTTCATCATGGTTCAAACAACTTTGCAGTCCCTTGAAAAGATCATAGACCTTAGACATTGTGCCTATGGTGCTTAATGGATTCAAATAAAAGCTTCCGGCTAACATTTAAAAAAAAAGCATATCTACAATGTTTGTGCTGTTCTAGGTCTCAGTATCAAGGGAAAAAGATACCAAATATTAAAATTTTATTTTTTATCCTCCTCCTATTTCAAAAATACCACCTGTAGATAAAATTTGCATTGTTCGAATTGGTTTCAAGCTGCATCAAATCCTTTGTGAAATGAAGTGGAGTGAAAATAAATATCTTTTATTTCAAGTTCATACCCTCCGTTCACTGCAATACACTCTTGCAAGATTGACCGAGTGAGTAAGCAAGTCAATTTCATGACAAGATGTCAGATCAAGCAAGCCAAGCCATGCCGATCTCACAGGCTGAGGTGCTGTCTGTTCTTATTTCTTAAGAATCCAGAAGGTGGGATACAAGTGAAGGCAGGGGATCTGGGAGGAGAAGGGGAGAGACTCTCTGACAGGCACTGTACTAGATTTTCATGCATGTTACATAAAATTAATCCCTGCAGTAAACATGCTAGGCAAGAAATCATTCTCATTTTCACAAATGAGTTCAATTGAAGCGCTAGTTAAGTCATTTATCCAAAGTCAAACAGGGGCGAAATGGTTAAGCTAAGTAAGTCTGTGTAATGCTGGAATCTGTACTCTTGGACCGGCACAAGGGAACTCAAAGAAATCCACAGCCTGAGCCTAGACAGAGAAGACAGCAGGAAGGTGGCTCTGGGTGTTAGAATTCCAGAGTCAGGGACCCTAGGTGGATGCTAGGGTGCTCTACCGTAGAGGCGTCGGAACCCTAAAGAATGAGGAGGTACAAGCAGCAAGTTACGACCTGGAATGGAGCAGTTACTGCCACGGGATGAAGTGTGCTTAAAGTGCCAACCGATGAGCTAGAGACTAGCTTGCCTTCTGAACTTGGAGGGTACATGCCGCCCGGGAACAGCCGATGAGCCAGTTATTTGCCATAGACAGCTAACAGTGCGTGTGTATGTATAGTTTTTACTCATTAAGATTTTTAAACAGGGATCATTATCCCACATTTTAATGTAATTTCAATAATAATAGTAATATAGAGTGTATGTGTAAGAGCATAACTGTCCCAGAGCGTCACTGGGAAGTACATTCATTCATAGAAGCCTCACTGGAGTCTAAACAGAGTGAAAAGAAGACACTTTTAAGATTGATGCACAGGACCTTTTTATTCTACCCTGGCTGCTGTAGTGTTTACGTTTAGTCTTCGTTACCGTCAGTGTCCTGGGGCCTGGAGGTTTGTATGTGAAGGTCCACACTCCCGGAATCGCATCCTTCTTCCACTCTCTCTGTGTCCCTTTAATGTCTTATATCCCAAGGCTTATCAGTTCCAAGCTTGACTAGACTTCCATTCAGTCCACCACAGCCTGGTTGCCAAGGGAATTCTCAACCTGCCTTCAAGATCGCCCGGGGGGTATGGCCGGACCACACATGGCATCCGCAGAGGGACCTGGTTTGTTTCCCGTCCCCGTTTAGAGGACTGTGTTGCTGATGTTCGGCATCATGAGCGTCCTTCGGCTCTTGCATGCTTTCCGATTCTGCACACTGCTGTGTAATCGCTCTAGGACTCACTCACACATGGCCTCGTGCTGACTGAAACTGTTTGGCAAGAGTGGGACTGGGCTGTGTCAGCTAAACTGTGGCTTCAGGCCAAACTGCCGTCCGGAGCCCCCTCCCTCCTGCAGATCTGTAATCCAGGTTTGTCAGGGTCTGTGTCCCAAGATTGCCTTGGCTGCTGCTGGTGGGGGAGGACGCCCCCCGCCCCACCAGCTCACGTTTCCTCCCTTCCCCCCTCCATCTTTCTGAAAGACTTAACACTCAGGCCACATGATGGAGTCAACATCCTTAACCATTTCTTTCCACGCTGCCTCCTTCCCCACATTGGAAGAGCTAAGCATCCATTTTGGAAGTGCGGTGGACACTTCTCCCTGATAAGTGGAGCTGGGGTGCATTCTGCAACTTTGACATAAAAATAAGGCACCTAAGTTGATTCAATGCATGATGTTAGTCTTGGTAGGAGCACGATGCAACACTAACATGAAAAATTACAGTGGCCGGCATTTATCACGCATACACTGTATACCAGGCATTATGCTAGGCACATTGTAAACGTTCTCTCGTTCAGTCCTCCCATGGTTGCTGTTATTGATGGTCAAAGTTAAGAAATTTGGTCTTTTCACTTTGTTTCCCTCAGCTAGCTGACTGCAGACGTTTTTGTCATGACCTCTCCTGTAACTGCGTTATAGAACTAGACAATCTGAAGTTCGGTGCTTTCATTCAATTATCATTTCCTGTTAGAGCTGACACACTTTTTGATTATTAAGTTATGCATTCAAAAAAGGGTAAAACGATTTTCAGGTAATCCAAAGCCAATGAAATAATTACAATTTTTTTCTGGATTTGTTTTTAAGTTTGATTTTTTTAAAGAGTAGACTTTATTTTTTAGAGAAATTTAGGTTTATAGTTTTAGATTAACAGAAAGTACAGAATGTCAGTATTACCTTCTCTCCCCATCGCCCCACTCAATAGTTGCTCCTATTATTAACATCTTTTGTCAGGGTGGTACATTTCTTACAGTTGAGGAGCTGATAGTGATACATTATTATTGACCGAAGTCTGTAGTTTACATTAGGGTTCATTCTTTGCGTTGTACGTTCTGTGTTTTGACAGAGGTGTCTGTTATTACAGTATCATATAGAATAGCCTCACTTCCTTAAAAATCACCTGTGCTCTAACTATTCATCTTCCTATTCCCTCAACCAGTGATCTTTTTACTTGTTCTATAGTTTAGTCTTTTACCTGAATGTTTCTAGTGGCCTCGGTGCCTTAGAATTTCTTCCACTGCGTTACAGATTTCTTCTTAACGTCCTCCTATCTCAGCCCCGCCTAGTCCCCCCAGTCACACCTGTGACCACATAGGTGGCCCAGAAATTTCACATGAATGGTGGCCTTAGCTTGAAATTTTTCCCTCTTTCTGGATCTTCCGAATTCAGTTTTTAAATTTGCTAATATAAGTATTTACTTTCCCCAGGTTTCCAGTTAGTTTCTGTTCTTAGTTTTCCTCCTTTTAAATTTAATAGAAGAGGGAGATGCTATTTCAGTATTTCCTCCTGAGGATTCACTGAAATAACTTATGTGCTAAGTTTGTTGTTACAATTGTGTTACTACAGGGTAACAGTGGCAGAGAAGCTCAAGAGAAAGCTGCTGGCTTAACCTCACACGTTCAGAGGTGAGGGCCGAGGCGACAAGGTTGCTTGACATTAAATTATCCTGCTCAGATGCACGGGGCTGTTGGCATCAGGGGCTCCTGCTGTGTCTCCCACCGATTCCCGTCTCACCCTTGCCTCCTGCCTACCTACCATTTAATTTTTTTTTTGCATCATCTAGAGTCCATGAAAGGCGAAAAAGGAGAGTGGTCTCTCTTAGCAGCAGAGGGAGTACCATAGCGTAAACGTACGTGTCTGCCTGTGCTCCTCCTGTCTTTCTTCCCCTGTGCTGGGACCATCTGAAAGTCGTTCCAGTTATTTATTACTTTATTCCGGGGGAGGGAGAGCGAAATACAGAGCCCTAGATACAGGGCCAGAGAGAAAGAGAGAAGTCTTCCCTGCTCTGGGGGAGGGGGTTTACAAGTGCTAACAATGAGGTTCAGAATCACGAAAGTTGTTTTAGCATAATACTGTGAGGAGAGAGACAGGAACCATCTGTTGAAATGGCTCTTACGTGATGCTGCATTTTCAAACAAAGCCTTCTAGGAGCATTTTCAGATGGGCCCCTTTCCCGTGAAGTCGCTCTCCTGGCTTCCCAGAGAGCTCGCTCTCCTGGCTGCGAAAGGATGCTGCCTAGATGGCTCTCTGTCAGCACCCGCCCTTGTTTATTTTGCACCAGTGTTTTCCTCAAAGTGCGTACTTCGAGGCTGTCAAATACCCCTCCTGGTATGAACCCAGAAAAATCCTCCCCCCCCCAAAAAAATCCACTACTTCTGCCCATTTCCTTCTAAAGTGCTGACTCTTTGACTTGAAGTTGGTGGAGTGACTCTGAAACCTTAAATACTTCACTGGGAAAGAGGAAAACCGCAAATACACACAGGCCATTGTGACTCCGGCCTGGCGGGCTCTAATTTTCTAGCTAGCGGTTTGTACACCCGAGCCGGCTGCAAGGGTTAAGTAAACTTCGTGGCTGGGGATGACTTCATGGCCCTGGAATTTTGAAAAGCCAGGGTTCTCAGTGCACT